TGCTCTTGTGCCAAGGAAACTAGAACATGGGGGTGAAAGTTCCAAGCCTGCACCTATGTAACCTCTCTACATTCAGTGAGCTGTGAGAAAGTTGTCCTGGGAAGTGGGACCCTCCAGTCAGTTTTCAGAGAGCAACCCACTGCATTTAGTATTAAAGCAAAGGTGTCATCTCTTTAAAATAATCTTCTAATTCATTCCAGAATTACAAATACACTGCCATGTTTGACTTATTCAACTTAATGTACCTATTCGTCAAATCTCCTATATAATAGGTCAAGTGCCTTAGTACATTGTGTGAAATTGATTAGCATCCTCTAAAATCTAACAAATGTAGGAAGCTAGTTATGAAAACAATATGTCTGAAGCACAATGAATTATGTGCCTTTAGTAGAATATGTGAAGGTAAGTGATATAAAAGCAGTCTTCATTTATAGTGTACTAAAAAATTACAAATATTATCTTCAGCTTTATGAATAATAGTGCTTAAAAACAGTTGTTTTACTTAAAAATACAGAAATTTATAAATTCATGTTAATTATACCACAGTGCATAAGACTATTTGCTTAATAAGTTACAATCAATGAGTATAAACAAGTATATATTAAGGTCTTCTACAGACATATTTCCAGAGGGAATTAATCTAAATTGTAGTAAGTAATAATGAAAAGAAAAAGGCATGAAAGATAATTCAGTAGTTTATTTAATACATAATTTATTAAGTATTATGAATGTATATAAGTTAAACTTTGTGGAAAATGCATAAATGTAAGATTTCATGCACCTAATTGAGTAAAGATTTTGTAGGTAAACTTCAACTGAACAAAATGAAATTTCAAAGAAAGGTGATCATCCAAGATTTTATCCTGTTGTTTAAATTCTATACCAAGGAAAATTACATCCTGTGTAATACTCTGGTAATCTGATTTCTACTTTAAATATTTTAAAAATGGAATGAATTGCTATTGACTTCCTATTAAAACAAGAGACAAACAAACAAAAATATCCAGCTGTGTCCATCCTCCTTTCTCACTTTCACCAGATAACTGAGTTCATAGGAAAAATCCATCAGCCAGACAGCTGAAAGATAAGCAAATACAACATCAACACGGAGATCTAGGCAGTAGCAGCAGAAGCACAGGAGCCATAGCTGGCAGGAACATTTAAATTAAAGCAGGAGTGACCAATTGCTGGAGGCTGAGTGTCTGTTATCTTGACATATTGCTGCTGCTCTTATATAAAGTCTTTAAACTGCATACATTTTACTAGAACTTAACAAGGTTCTTACAAATGAGAGGGGGGGATAAAAAAACCTTTCTTCTTCAGCAGAAAAATCAAGAAGGAAGCAACTTGAGAATGTCACAAGGTGTTCTCAGTAACAAGGGCTTGTCACCAAGGATGTTCCCTCCAGGAACTTTATCTGACCTAGAAAAAGTATTGTTAGTTAGCTTCTGCTTCTCCTTCTAGCAATGCTTAGTGAAGAAATGAGGTAAGAAACACTTAAATACCATAGGAAACATATGCCCAAAAAGAAAACCAATATTTAATCTTGGGCATATACAAATTTCTCCTCCCCAGGACTTTAACAGAGCTCCAAATAGTGGCTACAACAGAAATCTTCAGCAAACAGGGGTCATTCTGGAAGTTCTTTGGGAAACCCACAAAATAAAAAAAAAAGGAAAAAACATGAAACTGTACCATTTACCAGCTAAACTATAGAAAATATTAACAGTACAAGTCTTAGACAAAGTAGCCTAAAACTTCACTGTTAAATCCCTGATACTTCAGTCTTCATTACAGATACATCATGTTTAACTTTCAAAAACTAGTAATTTATAGGTATAATATAAAACAAAAAATGAAGCCTGAAGAAATAGATCATACATTATATCAAACTCAGAGATGAACATAGATACTCCAAAATTTAAGATAAAAACATAAAGGGTAAAAAAAAAATGTAACCTCGCCTCTTCATCACAAGGTTCACCAATGACACTTCTATAGCCAAAGGTAGGTTGAGAGTAGAAAAGCAAAATAGATTTATTTAATAAAAATTTACGTAATAGCAAAACCAGTATAAATCAAGAGACAAAGAACCTGGGAATAATCATCCACTTTTGTGCTAAGGTTTGAAACAGCTGGACAATGTGTGGAATTAGATTTGAACAATGAAGGGCATGCCTTAGGCTCCAAGGAAACAGCTACAATTGCATGCTCTGATTATTCCTGGTATGCCTCTGTAGCATTTTCTCTTGAGTATGGCTTGCTTCTGGAAGAAGAGATTTGTTAATCTATCTGAGATGATAGCTCAGACAATTTCCTTATTAGCTGTTGCACAGATAAATAGTAAAGATACAGTAAGTGTACTATTTCTAGATTTTATTGCAGGCTTTGGGAGACAGAGGCTCTGATTTCTCTGGTGGACTTTAAGGAAGAATTCTCTTTTTGTATTGGCTGTGGCAATGGAGAAAAGGGAGACAGAGGAAAACATGGATTTTTGGTGTGGGGGACATCTCAATTTCTTTCCATTCAATGAACTCAACATTCCTAGGCAACATACTGGTTGATATCAGTTTCTGGGTGTTAGTTATTATGAGGCATGATGTTATTCATTAAGCAACACTGTTTACTATGTGAGAAAAGCCACGCAGTATGACAAAACCCACTATAAGAGTTTATTAAGAGGGGAGTGCTTAGGCTTGTGGAAATGGTTGTGCAGAGAGAGGAGGGGAAGAAGGGAGAGGAGTCTGTGGCCCACTTTTATTGATTCCCCCACACATGTGCATATGGGCTTATGTAGCTATGCTGTGCATGCACATAGATTATGTGAGCATGCTGAACACAAATTATGTGATGATGCAATGCACAGTCACATAGGATGTAAAGCCCTGGAATGACTAAATATCTTGCCAGGCTATGGAGCAGTGCATGTGCAGTCATGTAGCTGGGGGAGTGGCCAGGAATTTCAACACTGGGACTAGAGTTCTATTTGAAAAGTGAACCAAATATAAGACAAGTAAGTATAACACCAGTAGCACAGATACTGAGAGCAACAATTAATAAATGGGACCTCTTTAAACTGAGAAGCTTTTGTAGGGTAAAGGACACAGTCAATGAGACAAATGACAGCCTACAGAATGGGAAAAGATCTTCACCAACCCCACATCTGATAGAGGACTGATCTCAAAAATATATAAAGAATTCAATAAACTAGACATCAAAATACTGGACAATCCAATTAAAAAATGAGTTACAGAGCTAAACAGAATTCTCAAAGGAAGAATCTCAAATGGCTGGAAGACATTTAAAGGACTGCTCAACATCCTTAGTCATCAGGGAAATGCAATTCAAAATGACTCTGAGATACCATGACTAAGATCAAAAACACTGATGACAGCTTATGTTGGACAGGATGCGGAGCAAAGAGAACACTCCTCCACTGTTGGTGGGAGTGAAAACTTGTACAGCCACTTGTGAAATCAGTGTGGTGGTTTCTCAGAAAATTGGGAATCAATCTACCTCAAGACCCAGCTATAACACTCTTGGGCATATACCTAAGGAATGCTCAACCATTCCACAAGAACACATGCTCAGCTATGTTCATATCAGCATTATTCATGATAGCCAGAACCTGGAAACAACCAAGATGCCCCTCAACCAAAGAATGGATAAAGAAAATGTGGCACGTATATACAATGGAGTACTACTCAGCAGTGAAAAACAATGATATCATGAAATTTGCAGGAAAATGGATGGAACTAGAAAATATCATCCTGAGTGAGGTAACCCAGACTCAGAAGGACAAACATGGTATGTACTCACTCATAAGTGAATACTAGATGTAATGCAAAGGATAACCAGACTACAACCCACAGCTCCAGAGAAGCTAGCTAACAAGGAGGACCCCAAGAAGGACACATAGATCACCCAGCAAGGGAGAAATAGATGAGATCTACATGAGCAAATTGGGAGTGGAGGGGGTGTTAATAAAGGGCAAGGGATGGGGATGAGAACATAAGGGAATGGGAGGTTTGAGCTGGAACAGGGACAGAGTGGGAGAGCAAGGAAAGAGATACCATGATAAATGAAGACATAGTGGGAACAGGGAGAAACAGGGTGCTAGGAAAGTTCTCAGGAATCCACAAGGATGACCCAACCTTAGACTGCTAGCAATAGTCGAGAGGGTGCCTGAACTGCCCTACTCTGGTAATCAGATTAGTGAATACCGTAACTGTCATCATAGAGCCTTCATCCAATAACTGACGGAAGCAGATGCAGATCCATGGCCGGGTACCAGGCTGAGCTCCAGGAGTCTAATCAATGACAGAGAGAGGAGGAATTCTGTGAGCAAGGGACATGGAGATCATGATGGGAAAATGTACAGAGACCGCCAGCCAAACTAGTGGAAACTCATGAACTGTGGACCAATAGTTGTGGAGCCCCCATGATACTGGACTAGGCCCTTTGGATAGGTGAGACAGTTTTTTAGCTTGAACTGGCTAGGGAGTCCCCAGGTAGTGGGATAGGGATCCATCCCTGATGCATGAGCCAGCTTTTTGGAGCCCAGTACCTATGGTGGGACACTTTGCACAGCCTTGGTGCAGCAGGGAGGGACTTGTACCTGCCTCAACTGAATGTACCAGGCTCTGCTGACTCCCCATGGGAGACCTTGCCTTGGAGGAGGTGGGAATGCGGGGTGGATTGGGGGAGAAGGCTAGGGGGCAGGAGGAGGGAAGAGGAGGATCTGTGGTTGGTATGTAAAATGAATAGAAAATTTCTTAAAAATAAAATAATAATAAAAAAATTAAAAAAGTGAACCAAATATAAGACAAATATAAACAAATATACATGTTATATATTCTATTTATATAACCATAACCATTTATATAAATTTATATAAATTATATAAATGTGTTTATATAAATTATATCAATATATTTATATGAAATATGTATTTTATACTTGCTTATGAAATATATTAAATAGTTTTTTATGTTTTTTTTTTTCCATTCCTCACAGCACATTTATTTCAGTAATTCCATTATGTCGGTCCTTAGCATGAGCATAGTGTTACACAATTTTCATACATATAATCACATCCAAAACAAGCTCTAAGATTGAAATTGTAAACATTCTCATCATATGTAGAAATATTTTGTGTATTAATAGTTTTGCTAACTGATCAAATTTGGAAGTGAATATAAATGAGAAAGCCTATCTAAATCGTGTAGTGAGCCTGGTTTATTAATTACATTTCTACAATGTTAAATAAAGACAACCCTGTCCTGTAAGCATGTCAAACTGTACGTAAAACGTTACAAAGAAACAAATCTGTTAACAAAAGTATGTCTTGCAATAAAGAACATTAGATTTTTAAAATCTATTATGATACAAAAATGGAAAGGGTAAATAGCATCTTTGTTGACAAAGTAGGAGGTAGCATGGATGCACCACTTCATTGTCTGAGAAATGCAACTGGGGTAAAGAACACTTCCTTACCACAAATAATTTCCAGGACTATGTACATATTTCTCTTAGAAATACTTGTTTAAACAAATCTCCCTCCGACTTTTTAGTATAAAAAAAAACCGTTCCATGTGATTTAAAAAAACACTTACACATCTACTAGATAGATAGTACTCTGCCCTATTTGGGTGAACAGTCTCAAACTATGAAGTACATGATATTTAATGCCCTAAGTTGAGTGAATTTAGTTAGCAGTTCCTGGTATTATACAAAACACTAAATACATACCAACAAAATATAATATCTTAGTTTTCTATGTAAGTGTGGGGAAGAAACAGAGTCTTGATTCTGATAACACTGCAGAAAACATAATCTTTCAGTAAGTCTGTCTGTAAATTCATGTGCAACATTTTACAAATGGCTCTCAGATGTAAGACCTTTAATTGAGTAAACTCAGCCAACAAAATTCAGTAAACCTTAAGAACACATTTCCACCCTATATAAAATATAGACTACTTACTGTCTTAAGTATTCAGTTTGCTCTGATGTAATTCACATTCCCCCATTTTTCCTACTTTAGTATTTATAAATGGATGTAGCTTACAAAAAAAAAAAAGAAAAAAAAAGACAAAGAATTTTAAATTTACATCCAATTAAATTTGCTCTTTAAAAGGATTCCTGGTTCTATGAAGCTGCTTCTGCCATTAGTAAAGAAAATGAAGTTTCTGTAATCGAGGCAGGCTTTTTAAGTAGTGACGTGACTTCCACCATTCCGGCTCCAGTCCGTGGGAGATTAGCGTTCACAATGTGTCGTTGTAAATGCTTAATCCAGTCTTCCTGAACAGACAGTGGTCCCCGAAAGACTAGGCCACAAAACCTGCATCGGAGAATGTAAACCTCGTCAGCACCATGAGGTAATGTTAGCATTTTCTTCTTGCTTCCAGATCTTGACCTTGATTTCTTTTGCTTACAATCTAAAGCTAAATTTTGGCTTATTAACATCTCGATGCAAGAATAATTTCATCCAAAATTAAATCAAGCAGTTTGGTGCCGTGTGCGTCAAACCGGGGCCAGTTTTTTATGTTTTAAACAAAATATAATGTAAGGAGCTAGATGAAAAATTTGAGAATGAATCAAACTCAAAAACTGGATGTCAAGTTCACTGAAATGGAGGATGTCTTTAATGAGTCAGCTTCTCAAGTGACTATAACTTAGGAAAGACTTTCTGACTTAGCCAGATGCTGAGTATAAAAGAAACCAGAGGAAAAAGATCTCGTGAAGTGCAAGTAAAAATGATCAAGGAACATCATTTGAAGCACAGGAAATTAAAAAGTAGTGACCACTATGCATTCTGCTTACACTAAATGTTTTAAAGTACTTTTTAAGAAAAAATTGCTAGAGAAAATATCAATATCTGTAGAAAAAATATTTTCTGCTTTTTTTTTTCTAGGAGAGAATGCTTCATCTTAGAGGAAACAGCTATGTAGCAGGCCATCTGAATTGCATAGCACAACCTTAAGGTTTAACTGGATTGATAAAAATGCACTGCAAGCAGAGTAGGATCTTCATAAGGTGCAAACATTACTATCCAGAAAGACAGAACTGTATAATACTCTGAGAAGTCCTGCTTCCAAATAATTAGGCTTGTAAGAAAATGATACAAAAACCAGTGTTCCTGTTCTCCTCAACAACTATGCCCAGACTCTTGGATTAGTTATAACGAATAGGAATGGTCATGTTGCTTAGGAAATGCATTTATTCTAATAGAATGTATGGTGAAGAGTACAGTTAGAATTGTATTTTGTAAAAATCTTTGATCAATTTTAATATATACAAAAGAAAATCTAGTTTAATATTTGAAAATAATATTTCCTACCTGATAAATCTGAATTCATGTTAAAAATAACCATAAAGTATACATAAGTAAATATTTTAAATAAAAATTAAAAGTTTTCAAATGTTACTGCTCAAATAATATGATTATTAAATCTTTCTATTGCACCAATGCTAATAATTATTTACACTTGCCATTTAGGACTTTCTAAATATCAAAAATATCCCAAGGGTCATTCTATGTCATATATTCATTGGGAGACATAAACTTTGATATTTCTGTCATTATATTACAAGATAAACAATTTTGGTGTTCTGAACTTATTGTCTATTTTTCTTGCCATTTATGAGATACAACTTAACATATTGATAACATGTCCACAGATATTTCTTGGAGCCCATTTAGGCTTTACCCAGCAGGTCTGCATAAAGAGGATGATTGGACCACAGGCCTGAGTACAGGTGTCTGAGATGGTCTGCACTTGGCTGTACATGGGGGGGGGGGGAGATCTTTTGCTCCACCTCTTGGCATTCCTTTAAATATCCTAGGGCAGAGACAGTCAAGGCCTGATGGATTAGGATCCAGGCCCTCTCAAGGCTAGCCTGTATTTTCTATCTTTTTCTCTCCCCTCTATCCTTCTAACTAATATTTCCTGCTGTTTCTACTCAAGAGTACTCTGGGGACATGCAGGGCTGAGGGATGGCCCCCCCACAGATATTATACTGAGGCTACAATGCAGTCATAAATACATAAGGAGCAAAAATCAATACATGTTAAGAAAGCACTGAGTGATTTTCCTTAGAAATAGAACTTGCCTCTACCTCTCAGCAGGTACAGTTAGCTGACCACTGTCAACAATGACCCTCTCTGGATCTGATTCTCATATGGAGTTGAGATCATACTCTGCTCAGTCATTAGTGGTGTAAATGAGATCTCCCTATTTTTGGTCTTATTTGGGATGATGAGGTATTGTCAGGCATGCATTGCAGCTAGATGTGGTGACTTGTTGCTGTAATTTCATCACTGGGAAAACAAAAGCGGGATCAACTGTTCAAGACCATCCTGTGCTACATAGAGAGGTTAAAGCCAGACTGAATTACATGAAATCATGTCTCAAAAAAGAAAAGAAACTAAATTGCATGGTGTATGTGTTGAGGCTGGGCTCTATGTGAGATTCCTTCATTGTGTCCAGTCCTACTTTCTCTTATGGTCTCCACTTGCTGTAAAAAGAGGCTTCTTTGATAAAGAGGTGGTAGCTGTACTTACCTGTTGGTATAAGAATAAGATTTAGAATGTAGCTAGGGATTATGCTGGTCAAACAAAGAAGCAGTGTGGTATTTTCCTAAGGTTCATGATTTCACTAGGTTTCAGGAAACTGGCTAGATTTCCAATTTCAGGTATAATTTCCCACTTTGTGAGTGGACTTTATGTCCACTTAGACAGTTCCTGTATCTGTGGCTCAAGGAACATTGCAAGAAGAGGGAAGCAAAAATGTGGTAAGAACCAGAATACTAGGAAGTCTAGTGGGAAAGAGTATCTCCTAGAATTGGATGCATAAACAAGACCAGGCAATGGCAAGACCAATGAACATGTTAACATGGAAATAGAAAATTCCGTGGGGTCCACCCCTAAACCAAGAACTATAGGCAACTAATGACTGCTGGGAGAAGGAGAATTTAACTTTCCCAGAGAAGAGCCACCTTCATAATTGTCTAGTGAAGAGTGGTAAGTTCTGAAACCATTTACAAAAAGCCTGCCTTAGCAGACTGAGTCATACACACACACACACACACACACACACACACACACACACACACACACATTTAAAAAGTGAAAATTCAAAAGAGTAAAATTAGTATATTAAATAGCAAAAAGGAGTAAACCTCCATTTTTACATGGACTGTCTCTATTCATCCCTGCTTCCTATTCCATTACATCCTTTTATACTTTGCTGTGGAATAATCCTCTTGCACACTGTAAAGATTTGCCACTCAAATTGGTTTAATAAAATGCTGATTGGCAAGTAGGCAGGCAGGAAGTATAGATGGGGTGACCAGACTAAGAATGCTGGGAAGAGAAAGGGTAGAGCCAGGAGTTGCCAGCCAGATGCAGAGGAAGCAAGATGAAAATGTTGTATTGAGAAAAGGTACCAAGCCACATGGCTAAACATAGATAAGAATTATGGGTTAATTTAAGTGTAAAAGATAGTTAGTAATAAGCCTGAGCTATGGACCAAGTATTTATAATTAATATAAGCTTCTGTGTGGTAACTTGTAAAATGGCTGCTGGGTATTTGGGAGTTGCTGGCTGGATAGAGAAATTCCATTTACACATGGCACCCAAATGTTTGGTCAGAATTTTCACATAAGACCGAACAAAGCTTAAAAAAAGGATTCTAAACACAGGAAAACAGAGTCAAACTCAGCTTCTTGGTAACCATTTTTTTCTCCTGTGGGCTCTGTTTACTGTCAGTGAGCAGAGGCACAGCTCCTTTAAGAGATGGCTTCCTGACACAGCATTAGTGGAAAAAACCAAGTGGCTCTTTTAAGAGACCCTGCTGCCAAACACTTAAATAGAGTTTATGAGCAGTGGGTAGCATACTACTCAGTGGCAGTGTGGACTCAAAAACTTCCCAGAGTTGGAATGGTAAACATGGTTTCCAGAGCTGGCAGTAAAAGTACCTCTGCCATAAGACTAGACTCTCAAGGAACTGAGGAATGGGTGGAGCCAGCCACCAAAGCCACTGCTTAGCAGTTTAAAGACTCATGTGGTCAGCAAAAGATAGGGATATGCAGTAAAGATGGATTCAGGCCAAAAAATCCTATAAATGGGTTATAGTATGTTTGAAAATGTATGTAGGCTTAGTAGAGAAAGTCCTTAAAAAGGGAATAGAGTAATAAAATTATAATAAGATGCAAAAAGATGGAAAATACACAGAGAGTCTGGATTATGTATATTATTGTGTTGTCTTTAAAATTTTTTGCTGGTAAGTATAACATGAATTGCTAAATGGTTTTATTAGTAGAAAACCCAGAGCCAGATACTGGGGTGAAAGCTGAAAGATCAGAGAAGCAGAGCAAGCCAGCCACAAATTCTTACCTCTATGAAATCCTCAGTCTCAAGCGAGTGAGTTCCTGTTACCTCACGCCTTGTATACCTTTCTGTGTCCTGCCATATTGTTTCCTGGAATTAAAAGAATGTGTTCTTCCCAAGCAAAGACATGAGTTCTCAAGTTCTGGGATTAAAGGTGTATGCCACCATGCCTGGCTCTGTTCCCAGTGTGGCCTTGAACTCACAGAGATCCAGATGGATCACAGCCTCCCAAGTGATAGGATTAAAGGTGTGTGCCACCATTGCCTGACCTCTATGTCTAATTTAGTGGCTGACTTTGTCCTCTGATCCTCAGTCAAGCTTTATTGGGATATACAATATATTACCACAGCTAAGAGACCTTGGATTATAAAAACTGCCATATTAAACCAACCAATTTTTAAATTATCTTGACTTCAAAATTTAAGTCAAAAGATATGTTACTTTGGGGGAGAAGTTATGTTTTTGTTTTCACAGGAAATGAGAGGCTGTGGAAACATTCTAGATTAAGAAAAATCAGGTTTGATCAAGGAAGATCCCTTGAAAAATCTCTAATGAGAACAGATGGTCCAGATGACCCAACATTTCAGAGCACCTCTGTTGCAGTTTCCTCTGAGTTCTGCATCAAGAATGGCTTCAAGGCTCCTGACTGAGATTATCCAACCTCACAGAATTCTCCAGTCAGGACTTGACCATAATCCTGAATTTTCTCAGGGTCCCTCAAAGATTTCCAGCACCACCAACTAACAGTAAGTAGTCTAGAGAACTATGCCCACATTCCCAAAAATAAATTATGGATATTTGTCATTGTTTAAGGGGTTGGTTACAAGTTGTTATTGGTAATGGTTAGAAAAAAAGCTGAACAAAGGAGATTAGATTCATGGATTTCATTGTAAAAAGAAAAGGGGGAATATAGAAAGGGTAGATTGTTGAATCTACTTTAATCAAAAAACAACTATTAATCTTACATATTTTACACTGGTATGGATTTTAGCTTATTGATACAAATTTAAAGTTAATTTTGTTATACTGTATATAAATTTCTACTCTTGTTTAGGGTATTATATTTATGCAATTCATTTAAAAATGTAATGTATAATTAAGAAATGCAGATTAATAGTCATCTATAATAGTCAAACTT